AAAATTATTAAAAAATATATAATAAAAAATCCAATCAATCTCTTATTGTTTATTACCTTTTCCTTCCTCAGCATATCCTGTTTTCCACCACTCCTTTCCTTCATATGCCTGTTAACCCTCTAAAATGGATTCTGTGTGTGAGCTTTTCCTTGGCTTTTTATAACAGTGATGTTATACCATGACTCTCTTCCCCGTCACCTCGATAAATGTCTAATCTTTTTAGTAAGTGAAATCATAGAACATTTGTCCTCTTGCATTTGGCTTACCAACTGTTGGCACTCAGCAGTTTCTAATGTAATATTTTGGATAATGTTGAAATTGTCTTTTTAATTAAAGAGTGGGTGTTGTTGTTGTTGTTGACTTTCTCTTCTAGGTTAAAGAAGAAATGAGGATTCTTACCCAAGATAAAGGCGTTAACTCTTTCAAGATGTTTATGGCCTACAAGGATCTGTACATGGTGAGAGACACTGAGATGTATGCAGCCTTCTCTCAGTGCAAGGAAATTGGAGCGATTGCTCAGGTCCATGCAGAAAATGGAGACCTCATTGCAGAGGTAAGTATTTGTCATCCAAACCTTCAAACAGAGAAGAAAATGCACATAACGTTAAGTGTGTGTGTGTAGGAGTAAGGGGGATCTCAAGTCCATTGCCGTGGAGTCACTTCCAACCCATGGTGGCCAATGTCTTTAAGGAATCGAGCTCCATAGGGCTTTCTTGGCCATAATCTTTCCAGAACCAGATCACCAAGCCTGCCTTCCACACACAGCTGAGTGAATCTGAACTGTCAACCTTTAGCTTAACAGTAGAGATCAAATAACTTGAGCCATCTGGGTTCTTAAATAGGCAAACTCATTTAATGCCTTGAGAGAACAAAAGCTCAGAAATAATCTGATTTTCTCTGGTTACAGCTTGCCTTTTATTCAGGTGCTCTATGAACTGGAATGGGAATTTCCTCTTTTCCAACCAGCTATTAGAGCTCAAACACATTTTATTAAAGAAACACAAATACTTTCTGTCTGTCCATCCATAACATTTTTAAGTTTTTTTCTGTTTAAAGAAGCTCAGGTTGCAGGTACAGAATGTCAAGTGTGGACAGCATCCACATAATTGGATGATTTAAACAGTGTATTAGGTAGCTCTATAAAGCCCTGCTCTGTTAGAAGCTGAGGATTAAAATGCACTCTGGAGGAATCTGGATGATGTTTCTTTCTCACGTTAGTTCCATTATTAATGCCTGGAGGGGACACCATCCGCAAGATTTAAAGGGCTGTCAGTTAACCTTTGTATTAGCCAATTTTGTTTTCTCCTTTCCCTGGGCTCAGCTCTCCTTCAAGTCAGTGAGACTGAGGCTCTGTGGCCAGGACGCAGTAGGGCAGAGTAAGACAGCAGAAGCTGCAAAACCAAACAGCCCCAGTTGAAATTTGACTCGTCCACTTTCCAGCTGTGTGACACTGGACAAGTCATTTTACTGCACCAAGTCTTGACTCTCTGCCTTTCTTTTGTGAGGAAGGAAGAACATTTTGGTGAAGTGAAACAACTTCTGTGATATCATTCAGTGGATTTGGGGAGGAGGTTGGTGAGGGTCATGGTTTACCACAAAGTATAGCTAATTACTGAATCCTAGTCTGAGTTACTTCAACTGGGATCTTGTACTGGGAATTGGATTATTTTGTTGGTTCTGAACCAATAATAAGTTTCCATGTACTCGGATGCTTTTCAGAGAATGTGGTTAGAGCTCAATTCATGTCTTTTTTATGTTTTGCAATGAAGATATTTTACTTGTGAAATAATGAGTGTGGAAAGTCAAGCATATCATTTGTTTTGGTTGTTGTTAGATGCCATCAAATCAATTTTAACTCATTGGGACTTGAAGTGATTGAGTAAAATGCCCCATAGGGTTTCCTAGGCTGCAATCTTTATAGGAGCAGAGTGTCCAGTCTTGCTCTCTTGAAGCTGCTGGGAGGGCTTGAACAGCTCACCTTTTGATTAGCAACTGAGCCCATAACCATTGTGCCACCATCACTGCTAAACATAATATCACTCCTCACTTCCTTTGATTTCCATTTGTGACCAACCTCCATTGGATTTCCAGTACTGTAATTCTTAAAGGGAGATGCCTGCCTCTTGTTTCTCCCAAGGAGAAACTGGTGGATTCGAATTCCCAGCCTTTTGTTTTAGCTGCACAAGTAACACACTACACCATCAGAGCTTATTAACATATATCATTAGAATATTAACGTGTTTATTTTGAATGTTGTTTTTACATACGTACACTTTCACATACACACACCAACACGAACACTAACAGATCTCAAAAGCTGGACAGTGTATTTAATATGAAATCGTGTTTGTCTCGGGTACACTGTATTTATCTTCAGTACGTTGTCCTTGCATATGTGTTTTCAGGGAGCAAAGAAGATGCTGGCTTTGGGGATAACTGGCCCTGAAGGCCACGAGCTGTGCCGCCCAGAAGCCGTCGAGGCAGAGGCCACCCTGAGGGCCATAACCATCGCCAGTGCTGTCAACTGCCCTCTGTACATCGTGCACGTGATGAGCAAGTCAGCTGCAAAGGTGATAGCGGACGCAAGGAGAGATGGTAACTTTCCCAGGACAGCTTCACGGGAGCTCGGCACTAGCTGAAGCTCGGGTCGTTAGCTGCCATCAAGTAGACTGTGGTTCACGTAGACAAGGATCTTTGAGCATGATCTGTACCTGGGCCTGTCGTGCACTGTTCTTGGGATCTCCGTCACGCTTGAGCCCCTGTGCTAGTCACCATGTCTGTCCATTTCACGGAGAATCTTCCTCTTTTTTGTTGACCCTCCACCTTTCCCAACATGATGTACTTCTGCAAGGACTGATTCCTCTTAAAAATATGCCCCAAAATAAGTGAAATGGAGTTTCATGATCTTTGCTTCTAGGGAGCACTATGATCACACTTCCTGCAAGAGAGATTTGTTTATTTGTTTGACGGTTTATGGGGTGTTCAGTATTCTTCCCCAAGAACACAATTCAGAGATCGGCATTCAATCTTGTTTTGTCATCCTTACTAATTGTCCAACTCTCAGATGCACAGCAAGCAATTGAAAAGAGCATGGTTTGGCTCAGGCCTATTTTAGTCTTCAAATTGGCATTGCTCTTTAGAACTTTGGAGAGGTCCTTGATGACACATGAGCTGAAGAGAAGAAGGTGAAATAACTGTAACTGCTGCTTTTACTTCTGAGAAAGCTGTGCATCAGTTTCTATTTTCCTTCCTTACTTTTTTATTCGTATCTGTTCCATTTTCTTTCATCACGTCTGGTTTTCCTTCTCCTTTTTGATCATCTTCTAGGCCGCTTCTGATTTCATTGAACTTCTTTTCCATCCTTGGAACCTTACATAATTGCCTTTGACCGTGTGTTCCCAACCCCATTAGTGTACTGTTGTGTTGCTGTTTTATGCACCCTGGTGTCCATTCTAACTCATAGCACCCTATGACAGAGTAGACATCCCTATAGGATTGTCTTGGCTTGGTCTTCGTGGGCAATAAGCAAATCTTTCTCCCACTGAGTGGTGGTGTAGATGTGCACAGCCAACCTTTCTATGAGCAGTCAAGCTTTTAACCTTGACCCCACGAAAGCTATTTTTAACACTACAGCCATCGACATTTTAATTGGATGTATAGATTAAAAGTTCTCCAGCTTATAGAAACTTCTCTATCCCTGAGGCATCTTCTTAATCCCTTGTAATATCTGGGTCAAGCACATAGGAGAGGATCAACAAGTTTCTTTTGAATTGAATTGATTTGTCTAACAACAGTTTGAATGTAGGAACAGTTGCAGTAGTTCTCCAGATAATAGTATGATGATGATTATTCTTAAACTTTAAACCAATATTATTTTTATCTCAAATTGCCCGAGTTTTGTAGTTCAATTTTGCAAATAAGCATCTTAAAAGAAAGAGAGAAATTCATGGTTTGTAAGAATTGGGCACAGAACTAGTTAGTTGTTTTAGTTTACCACTACTAGTAAACAAGAAATGAAAACAATAAGTTTGCTTCAGTGATTTAGATTCTTGTCTAAATGGGATCTTCCATAATTTCACCTTCCAGGATCTGGATAATCAAAATAGTCTCAACACTGATCTCAGCATACTGGGGGGTTTGTTTGTTTTTAAGGAAAGTGACTGCATTTTTAGAATATATTATATAGAAACTATGAATATAAATTTGGCATCTTTATACTTGACACAAAAAAAGAAAATTTTCCAAAATTACATCTTGTATGAGATCCAGTAAAGACTTAGTAAAGATGCAGTGCAATCTGTATTTTCAAGTATTTGGCCTATTTGACCTATTAAAAACTTTTATTAAAAATGGACTTAGTTCCACAAAGGGGTTAGTAAGGTCTTCTTCCAATTCCTGAGGAGCGATGATGTCCGTCCAAGGCCATGCATGGTATTTTCAATAACTTGCCATGCACATGAGACAGTGAATAAGGATGACAGAAGAATTTGTACCTTTGAGCTGGGGTGTTGGAGAAGAGTACTGAGTATCCCATAGACTGTCAAAAGAACAAACAGATCTGTCTTGGAAATAGTGCAACCAGAGTGCTCCTTGGAGGCAAGGATGGCAAAACTTTGTCTTACACACTTGAAGGACGTTGCTAGGAGGGACTATTCCTTGGGAAAGGACATCATGCTTGGAGAAGTGGAGCGTTAGAGAAAGAGAGGAAGACCTTCAACTAGATAGACTGACATAGTGACTGCAGCATTGGGCTCAAGTATGTCAGAGATGATGTGAATGGCGCAGGATAGGACAGGCTTCAGGTCTGTTTTTCACAGGGTCACTGAGTCATACTCCACTTGATGGCACCTACCAACAACCGATCATTTATGATGACTTTTCCCTCACATATTAGTATATTTTCAGAGTAAAGGGAGGTCTGATGATATACTCAGGTGGGAGGGGCTCTGGTAAACCAAACACTGCACCTGCCCTACAGCTGGAATCCACCAGAGACTCTAGGAGAAAGAAGGACAATCACTATCCGTGTGATATATTATCTAGAAAGCCCCTGAAGGGTCAACTATGACTCAGTTCTGATTTGACAGCCAATGAGTTTGAGTTTTCAGTATAGACTAAAAAAAACACACCCCAAGAAAACAAAAAAAACCTCATTGCCACCAAGAAAGAACCAACTCATAGCTGCCTGTCAGGCTGTAAATTTCACAGGATGAGATTGTCAACCACTCTCACATGGAGCAGCTGGTGGGTTTGAACCACAGACCTTTGAGATTACACCAGTTTCTTAGCACTAGGCCAGCCGCAGCAATAAAAATTAGAATGTTAGATTTTTCCCACCAGGTGGTGCTGTTGCCACCTTAATGGAATTTGTTCTTTAATTGGCTGTGTACTTTTTGCAGCATGTTCCTGTAAGCTTGTCAGTCACGTCCATGTTAGGATACGGTTTAAGAAACAGTGAAATCATCCAAAATGGTCAGTCTTACCCTGTTAGAAAGCAGTGGGGTGGTTTGTGGGGTGTGTTTTTAATTTTTAAAATTTTATACTGGTTTACTTACAAAGTTTGTATATATTGTGTTTCACACTATTCTTCATTCACATTATGTTTTATATAATCAATCCTATGCATTATGTTTTATAAAATTAATTACCATTGGGCCTTGCCCATAATGAATTACCTGTCATTTCAGGTTCCTGCCAGATCCTTCTCATTTCCTTCACTCTCTCCCTCCACCTACCAAACTGTGCAACCCTGTGGTTTCACCCCTACCCATCCTCACCTCTCCAGTCCCCAAAGCAGTGATTTGACAGCTCTGTCACAAAGCAGTTCCTTGATCCTGATTATTTATTTTGCTATAGGGATAAAATTCCATTAGGTACAGAGTGAAAACCTAGAAATCATGTTAGAATATAGGGCATAGACAGGAACATTTTAGCATTGACTTTTTTTTTCTTTTTAAATAAAATAATTTTCTTTTAAGACCATAACTCTTAAGAGATCTACATTTGTATGGATTTGTAGACCCATCTTGGACTTTTGATTGAACAGATTCACATTTGAAAGTAGGACAGGCAGGAAAAGAAAGGAGGAAAAAGAATAAAAAGCAAAGGAAGAGACTGTCTTTTTAAAGCTGGATCAAGCTGTTTGGCTTCTGAGGTGGAGTAAAGTTGGTGGCCATGAGAGCCGCTCTTCCAGGACCTGAGGTTAGAGAGAGCTGGGAGGTATGCTCACTCATAGCAATCACCTGGATCCAAAGGAGTGGGAGGGGGAGCACTACAGCAATGGAGAAGCCGCTGAGCTTGGATGTGCCCCCTCAGTGCTGTCCACCTAGCATGCACAGATATATATATATGGATGAGCAGGGAAAGGCTGTTGGTTGGAGGAGCAGCGAGTCACAAAGACCCCTAGCTTGTTGACTTGATGCCATGTGGGAGCTAGGACTGAGTGAAGGGACAGGCAGTTCTGGAATTCGGGGAGAAGGGTAAACTCCAGAGTGTGTGTCTGATGCTCATTTGAATCTGGCCACAGACGGCTGAGGATGAGTTGACTAGAACCCAACCAGATGAAGAAAAGATGGCCCATGCTGTGAGCTGGACTTGATTCCTGCAGCCTGATAGCTTGCTCTGGACTGGAATGTGCTTCTGGATATAGATGTTCAAAAGTTTCCAAGTTGAACAGAAGATTCTTTACAGAAAGGGACAGGTTTGTTTCCTTACAATCCTAGTTGATAATCAGGTTGGGCAAATCAGAAATTGGCTATCTAAAATGGGTATAATAAGGCACAAGACATAAAGCAACGGGCTTACTTGCTTGCACAAATTTAGCTATTAATAAGATAGTTGTAAGGGGGGAAAACCCCACAATATACATGAACAAAATACAATGTAAATGAAAGATTGTATAAAACGCAATGTACATGCATAAAACACAATGTATATGAATGATAAAAATATTAATAAAATAATTTTTTAAAAGATAGGAAAAAACTATATTCTAAAGGATAATTTATATTAGTTATGGAGATATTTCTCATTCTTTTTACCTTTTTTAAAAAAATAGGGTACAATGTATGCTAGTGTGTTTTCTTCAACTAATTCCCTATTGATCGGCATTTGGGTTGTTTTTCGTCTTTAGTTACTTCAAATAAAACTTGTAGTGATTGTCTTTTTTGCCTATACTATTTTGTATTTGTGGCCACTGCTGGAACAGAAAATTATCAAGTTTGGCAGCTTCTAACAACTTATATTTATTTTTTTATCATTTTATAGTCTGAAAGTCTAGCAGGTTCTCTGTGGGCTAAGATCACAGGTCAGGGCTTTTTGGAGCTCTAGGGGAGAATTTGCTCAGCTTGCATTTTCCAGCTTCTAGAATACACCTGCATTCTTTGTCTGCCCTTCTTTTTCCTCATCTTCAAAGGTAGCAACAGCAGCTCAAGCCTCCTCACACAGCATCACTCGTTGCCTTCTTCCAATTTGAAGTACATTGGACCCAACCAAGTAATGCATTATAATCTCCCCATCTCCGTGTCCTTACATCTGCAAAGATATTTTACCCTGTAAGGTAATATTCACAATTTGGGGTGCCGTTCTTCTGGCTA